TGGTTCTGCTTGCATTCACTGCCTTTGTGTTAGTGGGTAGCTTTATCTTAATTATGATTTCCTATGTCTTCATTGTGTCCTTAGTTGTGAAGATGCCTTCTGCCAAAGGGAGAAGAAAGGCCTTCTCAACTTGCTCCTCTCACTTTACTGTGGTCTCTGTGCACTATGGATTTGCTTGCTTTGTCTATTTAAGGCCCAAGAACAGTGACAGTGACTCATTCGGTGAAAATACACTGATGGCTGTGACCTACACAGTGCTGACTCCTCTGCTTAACCCCATTGTTTATATATAGTCTCCGGAACAAAGAAATGCAGGTGGCCCTGAGGAAAGTCCTACTCAGTATAACGAAGTTTTCCCCTCAAATGGCAAACAAAAGAGCCCAGAATATTTAATGTGCGAAAAGAGTAGACTACTTCCACTAAAAATCATTACACAGCATTCAAGGCAATTAAAGTGTTATTTAATTGCCTGATGTGTCTATTTTTCTAGTACAAAATAAGAGGTAATTTTAACATGTTATTACACAATGGTATGTATGTAAGCATGTATGAAGGAACACAGACATATGAATGTAGTGAACAAATCAAAACATGTATTAGAATATCATGTTTTTATAACATTTAATCCCTTTGTTGAAGGAAGAAATTCATAGTAAAGAGAGAATGAATGCATTGGCAAGGGTGATAGGGAGAGGGAAAGTGAAGAAAAGCGAGAGGGAAGGAATAAAGAGTGGAAGACCAGTATAATAAAGAAAAAAAATTTAGAGTTGAAATGAGGGAACAAGCACAATACACACAAACTTCAAAAAACTTTAAGAAAAGAATATTTTTGAACTCTATTCAAACAAACATGGATAAAAGATTGGAATTGATTTATTTCTAGAAAAAATGAACTGTCAAAAGTGATCTCATGCAACAATCCTTAATAAGATACTGGCAAATAGAATGCAGGCTATCATCAAGAATATCATGCACTCTGATCAAGTGGGATTCATCCCAGGGATGCAGGGATGGTTCAATACAGGCAAACCAATCAATGTAATGCACTATATCAATAGAACCAAGGACAAAAACCATGTGATTATCTCCA